TGGCCGCGGGCGGTCAGCTCCCCGCAGCCCTTCTGTGGGGCTGGGCGCGGGCACCGGGCGCGGTCCAGAGCTTCTCCCGTGGGGAGTCACGCGGCCGAGCGCTCCCTGCGTGCTGGACGGACTTTATTTGGTGGCTGCTCCCCGGCCGGAGCCGGGGCACGTGGAGCCCCCTCCGCAGCGGCTCAGGGGGCAGCGGCACGGGCGGTCCCTGTGCCTCCGCTCCGAGCCAGCGGGGAAAGCAGCAGCTCCCAACGCCGCAGGTCTAGGAGCGTGCGGCCGGTCTGGAGAAACTTGTAGCCAAATAATGCCAGCGCTGGTTGCGAAATGAGAGAACGAGAGAGCTCCTGGGTGAATTGAGGGAATAACGTGTTAGACTCCTTTAGCAGTTAAACTGAAGGAAACTTTAAGAGGCTTCTGTAAAGTTCTCTTTGGAGTGGCTGAAGTTTTGTACCTGCTCTGTGCACACTATTTTTGCCCAGTTTGGAAAGAAAAGTGAGTAGGTAAGTTTAATGTGTGGAGAAATGGTTTGGTTGATTATATTTAGGATCTGCTGTGAGTTTGCTCTTGTTAGGCCTGTGATGCTCCTGATGCAGATAATGCTTATAAATAAATTATTTTGGAATATTTCTGTCCAGGACTGATGTAACATATTGAACAGCAGCCTTTGTGGAAAAAATGTCCTACTGTACCAAAGAGAGAGCTTGCTCAGGTATGTCTGTTATGGATTTACCATCTGCTTCAGGAGCCTTATAGAGATAAAACAGTTATCTCCAAGTAGATTATCTCCAAGTATAGTAGTATTCTTGAACTGATTAACTTCTGGTGATGGTGCTTCTGTACCTTTCTGATCTACTCAGCCTTCTTTAGAAAACTTGGTTTTCTTTGGCAAAGATTTTATGATGATCACTGAGAGAGGGTATATAATGATTTTGGCTAAAGAAAAATAATGCTGTGAATGCAGCATTGTTTTTAATTTCTAGCATCATGATGCAGGTTCAGAGATCTTCAAAGTTTCACACCCATAGGTAATTTTTTTTGGAGACCAGCAGCTTGTCAGTGAGTGTTTTGGCAGGATTGAAATATCCAGGGTAATGAGAGTCCAGATAGCTATCATTGATGCCCCACTATGAGAGTGCATATACGAGTGCTGTCTTGTTGATTTAGCAGAGTTCAGAGTACTTTAATACAATTGAAGAGAAAAAAGGATAATATTCAGCATATAGAAGTCAATTTTGCAGAGTGGATTTTATTGACTTTTTTGTTCCTTTTGCTTCTATGTGAGTCTGTTTTGCAATGATTGCAGGGAGCTAATCCTGGTGTGTTGGCTGTGTAAGGAGTGAGGTGTCTCTTTTTCTTCCCATGGTAAACCTTTAACTGTGTGTTCAGCCCATGGGAGGGCTGTACAGGTACAGACAGTAAAATTTGCACATGACCACTGATTTCCCCCACAGTCTTCAAGTTTTATGGGTTGGTGCAGGTTGAGGGAGAAAAATTCACCACTTCCAGACATGTGGAATTGGTACAAAAGGAGGAGAGCTTTAATGATTGCTTTTCAACAGGATTTGGGATAAGAATGAGCTTGTTCTAACTATAAAATATGTGAAAAGACCATGAGGAGGGTGTAGTATCTTGAGTGGCAATGCTATTTTTTAATGCTTAAATGCTAACATCAAGTTTTCCCCCAGCATGATCAGGAGGGTGAGAAACATGTAAGGAAGATGAGAAGCAAAACAAAGATAAACTATTTCTTTTCACAGGCTATTCTTGACCTCTATAAGGACAGTTGGTTGTGGAAACTTGCCAGTTTTGTAGTCAGGCCAAAATGTCCTTGTGTAAGTTTCCCGGAGTAGTTGTTTGGGCTATCGCTTGCTGAGTTACTTTTTTGGGTGTGAATTTTTACACTTCCAACCTTTTTGTGAAAAAATGATAGTTTAGCAGTCATCCACTGAGCGCTGGGAACCAGCCCTAGTGAGCATTTGACTTTTTGTCTCTGTAATCTCGGGGCACATTCCTCGATGGATTTTTCTCTGCTAATCCTGTTATTTCTTCAAAGTAGCTGCACCTCACTTTATTGTGTTTGTTACAGCTGGGGTCTGTGGCTCATGGCTGACTTGAGAATGGAATGTGTCCCTTGTATTCCCAGACTTGGGACATCAGATGAATAATCAGTTGATGATCTAACAGCATAGTTAAAAGAGGAGGACCATAGGCTTAAGGTTAGCTCTTTACACACAGTAAATCTGTGTGACAGGTTGGTGTTGGGGTTTTTTCCTGCTGGAGTATGGGATTGTGGTAGTTTGAGAGGCAGCAAGAGGCCTACAGCTGCAAGGGACTTAGGAAATTCAGGTGCTTTTTAAATATTACTAAATAAAGCTTAAATAGCCTCATCTATTTTTGAGTTGTGGCATAACTTCTCTGTTTCATCTTTAGGAGCACCAAATGCTGAATAACTATCTTAAACTTAGTTGGAAAAAATCCCCAAATAACCACCAAAAAACCCAAGCAAAACCAAACTACCTGCAACACCAAAAAAACAAGGGGAAATATAAAAATGTAACCAAAGGAAAAAAAAAAAACCCAGAAAACTCAGACTAGCTAGTGCAGGGTTGAAATACTTCATATCTGTGGTGGTGGTGTTGTTTTTTTTTTTAAGGAGAAAAACAAAACATTGGAGCCTGTTTCCAGCGTCCAATTTTATGATAATGTGTGCTATTTTATCTTGTTTTGGCATTGGGTAGCTTGTATTTACAAGGGAATTGTTGGGAAGAAGGAAGGAGACTCTTAATTAGAGTGAAGCTAAATATAATAACTTTTCTTGTACCCAGTAAGAAATACAGACCTGCCTTCCATGTTGAGCACACAGCTGTGTAGCACTTAGCTTTGTTAGACTGATTTTTGTTAGACTGATTCTTTTGCTTTTCTCCTTTTGAAATAAGAATTGCATGGTTTTAAATTCTTTAAAACAACCCAAACAAGTTGCATGCAGTTGTCTCAAAAAATATGTAAAGCCTTTAATAGGAAAAAGGTCCTGTTTGCTTTGTTTTTTTTTTGGGGGGGGACTTCTGTGGTTCTTTTTTTTAGGGGATTTCAAATTATGTAATACTTTTAAAAAAATGTAAGCTAAGATGGGAATATGTTTGAATTTGTAGTTGAAATCTGCACCAGCTTTCAGGGAGGCTGATGTGGACAAGTTATGGAGGAATGTGCTTGACACAATAAGGGGGAAAGGCATTTCCATAATTCTTGGGGCTTCTCATGAGAAGACAGAAAGGAAAGGGAAATGCTGATGAATGATATTTACATTACTGCTTTAGCATTCCTGGCTCAGGAGTTGGTAGTGGAGCCCTCATTTTTTCCAGGGAGAAATCTGAGTTATCTGTGTCAGTTTTCATATTCCCTTGCATTTCCTGTGGGTTTGATCCCCTCTGCTCAGCACAGCTGTGGCCTGTGATGATGGAGGAGAGATCTGAGCTGTTTTTCCCAAAGGTTTTGTTTCCTTACAGGCTCCTTTCTCCTCTAATAAATATATTACTAATATAACGAGTAATTCGGTGGCACCATCTACTTAAGCATGTGTAATAAATGCATTTGATTAGCACCTGATGTAATAAAGAGTTGGTAGCATCAGCCACCTGTAAAATAGAGATAAGGCCTCCAAATTTGATTGACAGAGCTTAAACAGGGAAGGGAGATCAATGTTGTGATTCACCAGCTGTGTTTCCAGCCCTGGCATTGCTCTATTGTATGTTCTTACTCACATGTGAAAGCTCTATGCAGCTATCCAGGTACTTGGAATTTTGCTCTGGCTTTGATATATGCATGATTTTGGAAATTTGGATGGAGGAAACTGGTAACTCCATGGAGGGCAGATTGCTGCCCAGTTGTACCAGTGGAGTAATGAATGTTGAGCACTAACTAAAGCATGAAACACATGGTATGAAGCAGAGAAATTTTCTATTGCAGTTGTTCTCTGGGTTTCTCAACTCCCTTCAACCCAAAGGTTACCTGACTGGTTACCAAAAAAAACCAAAAAACAAAACACCACACAAAACTATTATGCAGTGTTTTCACAGCTGTTTTCTTTTACAACCAAACAAAAACTAGGCCATGCTTTGAATGCTTCTTCAAACTTTTAGTTCTTGACATCTTGTTGTTGTCTTGTTTGCTTATGTATGTTTATATGTATTACTTTTGACTTTTATATCAATGTGTTTTCAGTTGTATCAGGCCACTTCCTGATATCTTATTGACAACAGATTGAGAAACTGCTGTAGCAAAATCCTAGCTTGTAGGAAAAAGCTGATTTTCATTTTGTCTGCTTCCCAGTGTTCTGGGGGACCATTCCATACCTCATTTCTGTATCCACTTGCTGCTCTCTCTCTATATAAACTTTACTAGATAATGATCTGCTGAAACCAAAGGGAATGTTCTCAAAATTAGCTGTTCTCCAGCAGAGAGTGCGTGATGGGAAGCGTTAAGTGTTCTGGTACAATGCATGTAAATCCTTTTACTGGCTGAACACAGGAGCTCATACCAATGAGTTCCCATTATTATCCACCATTCCTGGCCAGGGCTCTTGAGGCTGTTCCCAAACAGGCTCTTTAGTAAGTCAATGAGAAATGGGCTGAAGAACAGCTCCAATATATGTTGCTCTGTAGGGTTAGTGTTGATGCCATGATAAACATTTCCTAAAGCAGGTTAACAGCTGTTCCCAAGTCATTTTATTGTGTTCTCAGACCAGTGTTGTGGGTGTAGATTCACTCTGAGTAACTGTCTTGCTGATACCAGACACACTGAGGTTATTAATTAAACAGTAATTATTCAAACTTGTTTGCATGGTTGTCTGGTTTGTGTGATTTCACACATTTAGACAAGGTTGAGGTGTAAAGAAGCTACAGAATATTTCAGGGAGAGCTAAGAGTGTGAACTGCTGATAAAGAGAAGGCATGTCCTGTAGGTGATTTTTGGTAAGCAAATTTAGAGAATAAAATTGATTAAAAACTGGGGAGGAATTACCAAGAAAAGAGCAACATGGCTGAATTGTCCAAGGTCTGTGGAGTCTTGCCTGGTGGGGCATCACTCTGTGGATGGCTAGTGAGGTTCAGATCTGCAGTGAACCTGAGAGTTCTCAGCATCAGTTTGGTTCTGGGACTTACAGATGAAACAGTGAGGGTTTCATGGTACACGCTACACGTCTTTTCTCCTCATACCTATGTCTTGCCTTTGGGGTTTCAGGAGTTTGCCAGACAATGCTGAGCCCCAGTGCAGGGGCTGGTTTGTGCTGTTGGTTGTCCAGCAGAACGATGGGAAGCAGAGACAGTGAATAGGCAGGAGGTGTGTCAGTACAGATTGGCATTGCTTGAGGAGTTAGTTGGGGTGCATTTTGAGTAACCCCCTTTTGGTGAGACCTCTGCAACATCAGCCAGAGGCTGAGCATCACAGAAGTCTCTGGAATTCTCGGGAGGGATGGGTCTGTGCACATCAGAAGAGTAACAACATCTGCTGTCCTGTGTCCTATTTCATTGATGTGTCTTGAGCAGTTAAACCCAAGAAGCACAAGTGTGGACACTCAGAGAACTGCTGCTCTGGATATCCAGGATGCCTTGTGCTCTACAGATGTTATCACTTCATCCAGCAGTATCCCATGTCAACACTGAATTAGCTTGTATTATTTTACTGGAAATTTCTGGCAGGTAGCTGGAAAGTTTTAGGAGCTGCTACATAGGTGGGGTTAGCAGGTGATATATCTATTAAAGCAGAGGTGTTACAACTTGCTGCTCTGAGTCACATTAGCAGGAATCTGAAGCCTGATGAGGCATGTGGGATAAGGTCATTTGTCCTGGATTTGGTTTGGTTTCATTAAGCCATTTTATGGAACAAATGGCAAAGTGTTATGAAGTCATAAATCCGAGGAATTAAAAATTGCATGTTTCCCCCGTTTATCAGGACCTAGGGCAAATGAAGGAGTAGGTGGGAAATCCTTATCAGGAGGAGGTCAGGGCTTTCAAGTTAAGGATAGGACTTTTTGTCTTCCTTGAGTTAATCTGTTACCCAGTTAACAACTTTCAGAACTATGTATCAAAGCTTAAAGACACGCTTCTTGCTTCTCTAATGTTACTGTGTTCACAAAATTGCAGATATATTTAAGAACTTCTGCACAATGGCAAGGAAGGGATAATTTGACTTGCTTTATGAAAGAGCTTGTTCACAGTATGCCTCTTACAGAGGGGAGGCAACCCACCTGCTCCAGAGTGGAGAGCAGAACTCAGGTTGATCAGATGATCAGATCCCAGGGTTGTACCCACATTTTTAACACTGTTTCCTATGTGTGGAATGGGTAGAAAATAAAGGATGGCTTTGAGAAACAATGTAAGCTTAGTTTACAGTCACATAATAGATGTAGTTATGAAGTCAGGTTGAGATAACAAGCTGCAAGAGTCACTTGATAAGAGAACTCTCTTGAGTCATCAGCTTTGCCCCTTCTTTGATGTCATTTGTCCTCTGGGGCCACATTCTTAAGTCTTTTTTCACTTGTGCATCTCTCTGAGAATCAGTTGCTGTCCAAAGCCTGTCGAGATACAGCCAAATTTACTGTCAAAAGCTGCTTGTTTTCTAGCTACAAGCAGTGGAAGAAAATAGGTAGGTTTGAAGGATTTTGCCACATCTTGCTGTGATTAAAGAATTGTCAGGTTGGTAGCCCTTATTAGGAACCTTTTCCCTCTGCTTTGGACTTAAGTATGTTGACATAGTAAATTATTGTAATTCACGCTCACTGTAACACACTGTCAAAGAGTTTCATAAAATTATGTCAAATGAAGTGTCTCCTTTTTTTGTAATGATGTGCAAAATTAATGGATTAAATTTCTTCAGCATGGTAAAACGACACATTTTTTTTGTTCCTTCCATGAGTTGTTCTAGGCAGGATCCAAAAGCGCTGAGCAAGGGTTTCATTCATTTTGGCAGATCCTGCTGTGGTGGGAGCTGGACAGACAGGAAATGCAGGCCTCTTAGCTGATTCACAGAACAAATTTGGCCTGTGATTCTTTGCTTAGTGGAGATGTCTCTCTGACTCGATATAATTGGTGCTGCTGCTGGGTGTTGTGAGCAGGGAGGTACCGGCGATGTGAACGTGTGTGGAGCAGCATAACCTCTCAGGGGAGTGGCTTTCCTGGGCTTCTGGTTGTGTTGCACCACTCTGGGAGTATCAAGCAAAGGAAGAGAATATTTTGAGGCTACTTCTTTTACTATATCTTATCAGGTCTGCTGTTTTTTCCCTTTTTGTCTTCTAGACTTGGCAAAGCCTCCAGTAAATGAACCAAGGGAGCCAGAACAGTTTCTAATGCAGACGCCCCAGGGAAATCCACTGCTGCTTTCCCACACCCTACAAGAGCTATTGAGCAAGGACAGTGTGCAGGTGGAGCTTATACCTGAGAAGAAGGGCCTTTTTCTGAAACATGTGGAATATGAGGTTTCCAGCAAGGTAATGTGAACAAGCTTTGGGGAGCATGTATCCTCCTAAGAACGTGTGTGCAGTTTCTGCTGGCAAAGTCCTGAGTGATTTAGTTGTGCTGGGTGATGCTGGGTTTAAGGAGAACAGTTGTGTGAGCTGACTTTTAATGCAGTAGCACTGGTCCTTCCTGACTTGGGAGCATGGAATGTCTAACTGAGCTGTGAAGGATGGTCTGCTATTTCACTTGCTTGAAACCTGAGCTCTGTACAAAAGCAGGTGTACGACAATGAGAACGGAATGGTTTTATAACAAATCAATGTAGGTAGCCAGGCGTTTCAAACTGTTTTGAACTAGTGAAGAAATTGTATTGGCAGTGCAACAAAAGCCCCAAAACTCATGGAGGTGCTGCTGTCTAAGGTGTGCATTGATTTATCCCCCTTTGTTAACTGCAGCGATTCAAGTGCTCAGTGTACAGACGATACAACGACTTTGTGGTGTTCCACGAGATGCTGCTGCAGAAGTTCCCGTATCGCATGGTGCCAGCACTGCCCCCAAAGAGGATGCTGGGAGGTAAACCTGCTGCTTCATTTTGCACTGGAGGGGTTTTGCTTCAAAAGCAAAATTGCAAGCGCAATCAAGGAAATACTGTTGAAAAACAATGTTTAAAAGATCGAAAGTCTTGGCTTCTGCTTGCCTCAGACAACAACTTTGAGGTTATAATACACAATTTGGAGGTGTGAATTATTGCCATGCTAGAAATTCCTGTGGGTGAGATATGAATGCAAAATTTCAGTGGGGTTTCTTCCTGTGGAATTTCAGTATCTAATGATTTTTCTTAATAAGATTTTAGGTGTAATTCTACACAAGAGCATGGAAAAGGTGCAGGCGTTGCTTCTCAGAAAAACAGGTTGTGATCATCATTGTTCAGTGGTGGACTTGACAGTGTTAGTTTACCAGCTGGATTCAGTGATCTTAAAAGTTTTTTTCCAACCTAAATGGAACCAGTGTCAGTTCATTCAAGTATACTTCAGCAGTTAGGCTACAAACCTAGAAGTATTCCCAAGACAGAAAGCATTTCAAAGCTCCTTCAGGAACATTTTTTCATTTATCTCAAATATTGACACTGGTTTTAAGCATTCATTATTTCAAAAGCTGTATACCTGTATAAAATCCTGTCTTGTTTAATAACTTGATCTGTGAAAGAACAATCTTTTCAGTGTCTTCTCTCCTGCCCATGGTGCTAAACTCACTGTGTTGCAACAGATAATTGATTTCAACCAAAGAGTCCGTGTATTGCTCCAGTAAAGCAGAATAGGTAAACAATGAACAGAGCAGGGTGTATAGTGAACTGGAGCAAAGCAAAATCACACCCCTGAAAAGCTTCAATGGTCATATATTCTTATGATGGAATGTAAATTGTGAAGAGTTTTTTGGGGAGGTTGTGCAACCCGTGTGTGAATTTAACCTGATTTAGTGTTCTCAGCCAGAATTTCCACTTCATGCAACACCTGTGAGCAAAGAGACCTTCTCTGACTAATCTCAGTGGACAGAGGATGCTTATAAAGAAGCCCCCAATATCTATCACTCCTCAAGGACTGTTATTTCCTTGCATTGCTGGTGTGTTGATATTTCCCTGCATTCACTGGTGCATTTCTTCCCACACATATCATAACTTTAGGAAAAAAACCTGATAGGATTAACTCCCAAACTGTGCTAGGAGAGCAGTTCTAATACACTGCAAAGCTGTGATAAGACAGAGAGTGCTGATTGCCTTTAGTCCAGTGACTGCATATAGGAAAGCTGTGGAAGTGGGCTTAATGGAAACTGCAATCAGGAAAAAGGAAAGGGAACGGGTAGTTCTTGTTTCTGAGTAAATTAATGGACTGACAAATGTATTGCAGGACACAGGATTTGATGGATTAGTATAGAAGTGTGACTCTTGGAGCCTCCAAGTCCCAGATCTGGATGGGTAAAGCTCTGTGCTTTGTCCTTGGTGGGCCCCTCTGCTGAGTTACACAGCTCTCAGTGGGGGCCTGCTCCCCTCCATCTCTCAGGTGCTCTGCTCATTTGGAGGACAGCAACCATCTGAGGCAGATCCTGTGGGAAGTGTGTACAAAACTTCAGAAATGTCCGTGTAGGTTAAATGTGAGCAAAGAAAAATCAAGATCTGCAGCCCCAATGGCAGAAAAATGAGTTGGTGGGCAGAGCTCTACTGAGGATCACACATGGGAATCCTCACAGCCAGCAAACTGCCACCTTAAAATGGTGGGAAAAGAGTAAAAATCCCTCATGATATGAGAGTATTGTCATAGGTAAGGGCATTCCTTTAATTTCTTTCCATGCTGCTTTCTTTTCCCTTAATATTTAGTTTTATTTTTATTGTTCCTGAAAAACTCCAGGAACTTTGATTTACTTCCTTACTGCAGTTATTGCCAGATTGAAAATCTTCCTGTTTCAGCAAGAGGAGCAGAATATTTTTAGTTTGACAAGTAAAGACTCTGGATGGATGTACTGCAGATTGCTGTGCAATTCTTCCAAAGTACTTTTTGACATCTTGCATGAAAAGGATGGATGCTGATCCCAGGAGTCCCAAACAGGCTGTGGAATTGATTCTGAGGAAGAAGAATCTCTGTAGGCCCACAGTTTGCAAGTGGAGGTTTCAGGCCTTAGGTTTGGTTGTTTGTCCTTCCTCCCTGACCTCACCTGTGGAAATAACCATGAGTTATGTGTATGCTGGATTTTTGTAAGAGGCAAAGATGCTTGATGGAATATTTGTTCAGGTGGTCAGTCTGAAAGGTCTGGTTTTGGGAGCTGACAGACTATAGGTAGTCATTCTTTGGTTTTTGTTGCAGTGCTTTCTTTTTACTTTCTGAGATGTAATGTGAGGGGCATTAATTGGAATTTCATGTTTCTTCCTGCAGCTGATCGTGAGTTCATAGAATCGAGGAGGAGAGCGCTGAAGCGATTTATAAACCTGGTGGCTCGACATCCCCCCTTCTCAGAGGATGTGCTCTTGAAACTCTTTCTGTCCTTCAGTGGCTCAGTGAGTGTTAGCAATAGTCCTGAGCTTGCATGTCTTGCTGTAGCTGCCTTGCTGGGCACAGCATTCAGAATTGCTGTTAACCTACACAGGTTTGCTCCCTGGGATGAGGAGAATTTTCTCTCAGTAGGTGTTTCCACAGTGGAAAGTGGAAGGTAATTTCACTCAGTGCCAGGAGTGTAGTATTTTGAAAATTATAACTGTTCTTAGGGGAACAGAGATTATGTTTTTCCTTAAACTAAACCTAACCTGGGTAAAGCTGTATCTGCTGAGTTGTGCTTTGCTGCTGCGATATATCTGAGACCTGCCTGAACTGCCTGTGTTTTTTCATAGTCCTTTCACACTCATTTGACTCTATATTTCCACCAGGATGTACAGAATAAGCTAAGGGAGCTGGTCCAAGGAGTAGGAGATGAATTTGTGACTTGCAGATTAGCTACCCAGGCCAAGGTATGTGTATGAATTTATTGCAACGTGTTGTTCTTGTTTAAATGGCTTTCTTTTCCAGGTGCTTCAGTTAGGGCATTTGTGCAGTGATGGAGACCTTAAGTAGGAGACAGTTGTTTCCAGACTTTGAAGGACTTGTAATTTTATTGAAAAGGTCAAATAAACTTTTGACTCTGCCATTTCTAGCTTAATTCTGTCTCATGAATATGATAAAGATTAAACAATGAATCCTGTTCAGAACATGTTTCTCTGTAATTACTTGTACTTGCATAACAAACAAATGCACAAATTGCACAATTTAAAAGTTAATGTCTAGATTGATGTCTTTCCCTTGTGCTCATGCCCTCATTCTGTCTGTTGTCCTCTCCTTGTGGGAGAGCAATTTGGACTGTTATGGAAAAGTTAGTTATAAGTTCTCCATATATCTTCTTATCCCAGTGATTAGTGCCATGACAAGTTTTAAGTACACATCCACTGTGTTCATTGGGCAATTTCAAAGCAAGTTGTTGTTCAGGTTCCTGCAATGCTTGCAGAAGGTTTTGCAACTGGAGCTTAATTCAGGCTTTTACCAGTGATAAACTGGTCAAAACAAAAATGCTGAAATTTCAGTTCATGCTTGGCTTTCCTGGGCTGGGAGTTACTGGTAGGATCAGATCAGAACTTGTGAGCTTGAAACCTCACAAACCCTCTTTTAACTACATGGGAGAATTGCAGATTTTGCCAACTCTGTCTGTGCTGGGTATTTGAACCTCTTTTTGCCTCTGAAAATTAGGGCTGTTTGTGTGGCATGTGACTTGGACACCTTAATGGGAAGCTGATCTCTGCAGAGCTGTTAGAGCACAGTGGGAGAGAGCGAGCACAGGAGGGGAGCCTGTCCCTCTCTGCAGACTGTGGTTTGCCTCTGATCTATCCACCAGTAATCCCTCTGTACTCCTTCAGGACTTCCTCCCAGCTGACATTCAGGCCCAGTTTGCTGCCAGCAGGGAGCTGATCAGAAATATTTATAACAGCTTTTATAAGCTCCGGGACCGTGCGGAGAGGATCGCTTCCCGAGCCATCGATAACGCCTCCGACCTGCTCATATTTGGGAAGGAGCTAAGGTAGGTTTGGGGGAACAGGGCTTGCTGATGTGCACATTTCTGTTGTTAGTTTAGAAAACTGTTGTAAAGTTTACCTGCAAATGGTTTGATAAAAATGGGTATTTCAGTGAATGCTGTAGGACTCAATCAATTTTCCTTCTATAAAAGAAGGAAATGCTCACTTTCCACTAGGGCTGCATTCCCTAGAGTGTGAGGAAAAAACCAGAAATACCTTTACATTCAGGTATTTGTGTTACTGTTTCTCTCCCCAGTATGTATACAGTTAACTCTGCATTTTTGCATTTTTTTGCACACCATTTGTGATGGGACAGTTGTAGCTCAGCACTGTGAGCTATTTAGACAGGTCTGAAACTGCTCTCTGCAAATAACTTTATCTACTCAGTGGAATTTGTCTCCTAGATGTGACCATTGCTTATCTCCTTCCAGTGCTTTGGGATCAGACACTACCCCACTTCCTTCCTGGGCTGCTTTGAATAACAACACATGGGGGACTCTGTACACTGCTGCCCTAAATTTCATCTTAAATGATGAGCTCTGTGGACATAAGCCCTTCAAGAGTTAAGAGGGAGATTGCAGTCCAAACTCACATCCTGAACTAACAGCCTGCTTGTTCAAGCTTGTGTGAAATACCTGGACTGTGTTTAAATGGGGAAAAAATGTAATGTTTAAATGGGGAAAAAATGTAACAGGCAAGGGAAAGGAAAGAAAAACCTGCTTTCTTTCTTAATTTTAAATTGTTACTGCACACATTAAGTTCACTACTAGGGTGAGCTGTCCAAAAGTGCTGTGTTCCATTTTATTAATCTGCTACAGGGAACCCAGAATAATTTACTTCTGAATCAAATTTTCACATTCATGTACTTAAACATTACATGAGAATCGTTCAGACAGAAGCACCACATTCTGCTCTGAGTATACAGTGTGGTAATGACTGTCAGAATGATGTGAGAACACAACACTCTGGGAAGGAAAAGTAAGAGTTTTGTCTTCAGTGCTCTTCATCTCATTGTGTTTAAACACTCAGTGTGCTTTTGTAGATCAGTCAGGCCAGGTCTCTTTCTCTGGAGTTTACGCTCCAGAGAACTCTATTGATACAGGAAGAAAAGAGGATTCTGTAAAATAAAAAAAACTGGTAGTGAGATTTGTCTTGGTGTCTCGTCTCTGCCTTCTGATGCATGAACTATTATGGGGAACATGCAGGTATTCAGAGTTTTAATGGATTAGTTACCTTGTAGGAAGGGAAGATGAAAGACTGGAGGAATCTGAAAAAGCAAGGAATTCCAGGCAGAGTGAGCTAAAAGGACTGACACGCTGGCCTGTGACACCAACTCCTCCTGTTCTAATGAGTTGGAAAAGCTGTTCCTGCCTCAGTCAGGTCTTTGTTCTGCACACTGAAGATTAAACACTCCAGTGCCATCTGGGAGATTTCTGATGCAGTTGTGTAAGCACTGATGTGCCCTGGAGAGCCTGCACGGTGTGGGGGGGGTGAAGGGCTGTGATGCCAGGCTTACGTAAAATGTACTTTTTCCTTGTTTTCTAGGGTAAACAGGAAGAGAATGATGTGGTGGAGAAGTTGAACCTTTTCCTGGATTTACTCCAGTCCTATAAAGTGAGCTCTGCTGTTCTGCCAACAAGAAAGTTGTTTAGAGCAAACTTGTGCTCTTTAGAGGGTGTAACGCCAACTGGATGGAAAACTGTCTGTGAGGCCAGTTCAGAGGCAAACTGGGCATCTGACAGAGGCAGGGGAGTGGCTGTTGGCCATAAGGAGCTCTGTAGTCTTCCTGATCGGCTTGTCTGATGATGAGAACTTGCCAAAGAGAAAACTCTGCAAGGAATTTAAAAATATGACTGGTTAAACTGTATGGATCAGCTTACTTTTTGTTTTTAGATTTGGCTGCTTTTGAGTCAAAGCAGCGAACTAGATTGCTACAGATTTGCTCATGGGGACATGAGTTCAGTTATGAATGAAAGGGTTTTGTTAATACTAATATTCTGGTCAGCTGTATGCAGCAGCCTCTCCTGACATTCCCAGGCCAGGACTGAATTTGAAGGACTTGAACCAACACTTTAATTAATTGCCAGCACTTAACACTGAGAAGGTCAGAAAAGCTAAGAAGCCTGATAAGATCCAAAATGTTGGCGGAAGTGATGCACCAGGTTGCCTCTTAAGCTCTCTGGTCTGGGTTCAAGGAGTTTTGTTTCTTAAATTCTTAGCTACCAGCATTTTTTGACCCTCTTGAAAACAAAGGAGCAAAAATCTGCAGTGTAGAAATGACACCAAGTGTGACCACATGTGTGTGTTCCTGATGTACTTGGCTGTGTGTTTGCTGACTCTTGGCTCCCCATGGACCTGCTGTTTTCTTTTCCCATAAAGGACCTGTGTGAAAGGCACGAGAAGGGGGTATTGCACAAGCACCAGCGAGCGTTGCACAAGTACAGCATGATGAAGAAGCAGATGATGAGTGCCACTGTGCAGAACAAAGAGCCAGAATCGGTGGAGCAACTGGAGTCTCGGATTGTGGAGGTAGGGCAGGCACCTGGCAGAGCAAAGGGTGGGACTGGGCTCTGTAATGGTGCTGCTCTGTAACTCTGTCATGTTTCCAGAGAGGTTTTGGACTGAAAGGGTAGCCTGTGCTTTGGGAAATCTGTGCCACGTGGAAAACGTGTTAGTTTTCCTCAACACTTGTTACTGGCTCTCCAGCACCGTGTCATTTGCAGGAGCTGTGGGAAGCAGCAGTCTGTGTGATGGAAAGGGAAATTGCTGTTGTATCAAATGGGTCCAGGAACTGCCTTTGTTAGGTTTTTGGTATGTGTTTGAATTGCTGGTATGGGGAGGAATGCTGTTTTCTCCTGTTTCTCCTTTCTCCCATCCTCTTCCTGGTCACTGAGTTCCTCTTCTTGCAGCAAGAAAACGCGATCATAACCATGGAGCTGCGGAATTACTTCTCCCTGTATTGCCTGCATCAGGAGACACAGCTCATCCACATCTACCTGCCTCTCACATCTCACATTTTGGGGGCCTTTGTCAACTCCCAGATTCAGGGTCACAAAGAGGTGAGTTCTAGACTGTGTCCTTTTTCCCAAAATAGAAAAAAGAATTTGAATGTATCTGTTTTCACCCACTGGCCTTCATCCTCTAATCTGTGCAAGTGGGCTGTCTTGTAATTTAGGAAGTTACTTGAGGTTTTTCCAGTTTGGGGTGAGGATCAAGGTTGGCCTCTAACCCCTCTAAAAGAGGGTATCTTCTTGCAGCAAGTGTTCTTTTTTCCCCTCATCTGTAGCTGGCCTTACCCTGGGAGTAGCTGAAAAAGATCCAACCATTAAATCTCTCCTCTGTAATGAACAATGCGTGTTTGCTAGATTAATCTGGATTTTTGTTGAGCTACACAGAAATTGTATGACAAGAAAACTTTCCAGGTTTTGCTCTAAAGCTTAGAAGTTCCCTTATGTTAAACCCTAAATATGGCCTTTAATATTCCCCATGTACAGACTTTCTTGCTTTGGTTATATTAGAAAAATCTCCTTCAGCTCCCTTCCATCCCTTGATGGATGAAGGGAATTCTCCCTTCTGTACAGGCTCAGGAGAATGTTCATGGAGCTGCACATAGCACTGGTCTAACAGGAACAGTCTGGGTCCACTAAACTTCCTGAAAATACTTCAGTAAATTTGTATTGTGCTTCTGAGTGCCCAAGACTGCTGCTAACATTCTGTGTGGTGAGATTGTTACCTGCTGCGTGGTCATGTCTGCTTCCTCTCCTTCTCCACTCACAGATGAGTAAAGTCTGGAATGAATTGAAGCCGAAGTTGAGCTGCCTTTTCGTGGGATCCAGCAGTGTGCCAACTCCACCACTGTCACCTCCAGAGGGAAACTTCTTTTCCAGTTAATTTTCTGAGCATCCCATATGGAGCAAGAAGGGCAATCAACGAAGGGGTGGGACCTCTACCTCCAATGAATCCTCCAAACAGCTATTTTTATTTTTATTTTTTTTTTTAATATTGCTGCTTTGAGCTGCTCTCTGATTTAGACAGACTGGATGTGGGGCAGAACATATGGATATAGAGACAATTTTGTAATTTTGCAATGCCCTGGGGCAGAGCTGATGTCCATTATCCTGCAGACACTCCTCATGGGGTCGGGATATGGCCTGGCACAGCGAGTGCTGCAGTCTTGTTGCTGAGGCCTCTGCATCTTGTACTAACAGTCCTCCAATCATGTTTATCTGCAGCTGTGCTGACACATCTTCACGTCTCTGAAGTGCTGAGATGAGCAGGATAGCTGAAGCACTTGCTTGTAGTGGAGATAAATTGCTTTCTATGCCATGGAGGGCCTGTGTTAGGGATGTGTGTGCATAAGGAAAGCTGAAAGCCATCCCCCATCCCATTGTAGGTGTCTGGGTCTGATTTCTTACTGCTAGACCTTAGCACAAAATGAATGGAGTGGTTGGATTTTGTAACCCAGCTGGGCAGGGGTCAGTGCTGCTGTGTGACAGGGATTTTCCTGATGGTGCTGGATGGACTGTATTGTCAGTGTGTTTCCCTTCATGGTTGCAGGGCAGCCTGGGGACTTGCTCATATTTTTCAGTTTGGGGCCAAAGACAGCTGGGTTCAGGAACTCAGAGGAGTTTGCCTGGCATAAATGAGAAAATAATTGACTAAAACACTCCTTCATTGTAAACCACTTGTGCTACAGGAGCAGAACAGCTACAAGGTAGCTTGTTTATTTCTTCTGGAGGTTCTGACCTCCAAGTGGTGAGTAGCTGTTCAGATCTGTTGGAGAGCTGCTGACCCGAAGGCTGGTGCTTTTCTTGGTGTAATATCAGAAGTATCCTGTTGCACCAGCAGGCTGGAACACAGTGCTGATAAAGTTCATTAGCAAAAATTCAGTATTATCAGGATGTTACTGTCATTCTTCCTGGCTGTGGGTAGCATTGCAGTGTTTTTGTTTGTGAAGGAGAGTAGACAATGAAGTGAAAGTTCTCATCTCTAAAAACACCACAGCCCTTGGTAATGGGGTTTTCAGAACAGTTTGTGGTTGTGATAAAGGGACTAAACATTCTCCACTTTGTACCTCCATTGGCTTTCCCTCGGGAGGCAAAGGGGAGAATGTGCATGTTGTGTTACCTCAGGGGAAGTGGTGCACATCCTCCAGAGAAACTGATAAACTGTAAATGTCTGCAGCAAAACTCTGTGTGTGAACAGGACTCCCTGATCCTGACTTCTCTGGGGCCAAAATAGCACCCAAAGGGGAATTTGTGACTGGCTTCTTAGCATTTTCCTCAGCTGGGTAAAAAAGGAAGCACATTAACAAGGATGTGCTTGCTGTTAAATTGGAACCAGTACAGTATTTTCCCACTGGGGAACTTCCTCTTTACCAGGAAGCATATTTAAATCCTCCAGTCACAAAAGTTATTTTGTTTTGTTTTGTTTTTTTTAATTTAGAAATTTCAGTGCAACATGAAACTCTTCCTAGCCCAGCTGGAAATTCTGGATTAGTTTCTTCAGCTAGGAGCAAGATAAGTTATTTGCCCAGTTTCAGGAGACTCAATAACCATTACTCACACTCCTCAAAATGGAGTAAATACACTGCTATGGGTGAATTCCTTGACTGCTGGGCCTTAAGCAGTGTGTAGCCAACCTTGCACAGAATGCATTAAGAGCTTTTTCCAACAATTCAAACGTTAACTCACTTTCCTCCTGCACATGGGCCTTGTCCAGTGAGACAGATGAACTGCAAATGGCTGTGACAGATTGGATTCTCTCCTGGAGATTTCCTAAGTGATGCAGAAGAAATTCTGCTCACAAGCTGGAGCAAACTGTCAGGGGAGAGGAATGTTTCTCCAGTCCAGTTACAGAGAAGATATCATCTCAGGCATGGCACAACAGGTTTTTCTGCTTGACCTTGTGTTGATTAGGGATACGGTTTGTGGTTCAAGTGTGGGAAGTGTGTTACCAGACTTTTTTATGCTCTTTGCTCCTGGCATTATCTGAAGGTACTGGCTGGTTGTGGCTGGCTTAGTCCCAGCACCCATATCCTCCCTCATTTATCTTTGCCTGATGTGGTGAACAGTAAAATTGAGAAAATACTCTATGTTTTGGGGCAAGATCTGATAATTTCTGATGAGTCTCATATGTTACTTGTTTGACTGGGCAGTGTTCTATAGGAGTGCTTGCAAAGGACTAGGCTGAATGGAACTTTGCACTTCTCACTTCTAGAAAAAAATGCAATTTTGAACTTGATTTAAAATCAAAAAACAGCCCCTCAAAAAGCAAACATCAAAATGACATTAGGGCTTTAAAGTAACTCCTCTTTCCTGTTCATGTTCAAGCACAAATTGTACAGTCTTAGTGCAGAGACTGTAACAATGATAGAGACCCAACAGGACCTATAAAGAAACTGATATTATGTTGTTTTGAGAAACACCCCATTCCTCCATTGTCAGTCCTTGTGTCTTTGAGGAGAGTTTTGGGGGTGGGCTTTTCCTGTTTTGGTTTAACTCTGTTCACCAGGTATTTGAGAACAGGCCCAGTATTCTCAAAGCTGATCCAGCCACTGGCACTTTCAGAGTTTATTTCATACTGGACTGCCAAGCTTCTGTCTCATTCCTAAACACACGCAGACACTATTTCATACAACCCTTAGTTTGCAAACCTTTCTTCTGGGAGACTGGTCAGTGTGCAAATAGCACTGTTTGTTTACCTCAATGTGTGAGGGATTTCCTTACTGTCTTTGTTATGTTCGGTTTATGGATCTGTCAGACTTGGAGGGCAGCATCAAGCACAGCTAGCTTCTTTCCTCCAGAGGGAAGCAGCAGGAACTCCAAGGATCCGTCAAGCTGACTTCAGCTGTCTGTCTGCCCTAGCCAGTGTGGGGAAAACAGTTGTAGTTACCTCTGTGCTCTTGCCTTCTGCAGTAAACACTAACCAAGCCAGACTAATTGGGGAGTGTGTGCTGTGCCTATCTGAGATCTGATGTTCCTGTAAGATGCAGTGCCAAAGTGTTAATGTGTTTTTGTGAATGGAAGCTTTTCTGTGTGTGCTTGAGGTCAGGGGACTTTCATGTGTTCAAAGGAGTGATGGTAGAAAAGCCTTCAGTGTCTGTCAGAGCAGTCCTGGAGGTACCAGGGTAGTCAACACCTGAGACCCTGAAAGGCTGCCTGAAAATTGTTCTCTGAAAAGGGCTCTGTTTTGTCACTCCTGAGGACTTCTTCCTGCTGTGAAGTGGGAAGGAATATACAGGCTTTTTTGTCAGTATCGTGTTGAAAGGCTCAAAACTCTATTTACAATACCTTAAATCTTTGATCCTTCTTTGCCTCTCCTTCCATCTTCCTGGCTCGTAAGATGTTCAGTGGTGCCTTGCTACATTCCAGTGCTTTTAACTGTCCTTTAACCATGCAAGGGTCTAATTCCTGGAAATTGTAACAGGCAAATTCACACTCTTCAGTTTGTGCTGTTTACTAAAAGACCAAGATCACCAGCTGGGGACAGAACTTACTTAAACTGTGTCAGTCTCACTGCAGCAGCAGCAGTAACATCCCAGCTCTTTGACATGAGTTAAAAATCAGGCTTGGGGAAGGCACCTTCCTGAAAGCACTCACCTGACTGCAGACAGGGAATAACAGAAGTGCAAGCCTGAGCCACACTTGTTCTTTTCCTACCCAAGCTCCTGGAGGAACAGAAAATAATTCTGTGATTGTCACATGCTGTCTCTCACCCAGCAATTTATGGTTTCCACCAGGAAATAAACCAAGGTATTTAACAGGTATTGGCTGCCAATCATTCCCTTTCCTACCATGCAGTAAGGTCCTGTGCTCTGTAAAAGCTGCCTGTCCTTTTAAGGGGTGCTTATTCTATTTGTCTCAAGCCATTCTCTCTGTTAGAGCAGCCAGGAACCCTCACTGCCAGGTCAGAAGCAGAGGTGGGTATCAAAACCTCTGTTAATAAGTACACAAAAGGGAAAGTAAAGTTTTAAGGTGTTATTTCATCCTCCTGAGTCTGAGCTGTGGCTTGCTGAGCAGATGAAGAAGGATGCTTTTGAGTAGTATAAGTTTTTCAAAACTGCTGGAAGGAGACAAGAAACAAACACAGTTCAGAGGGTGTGAATTTTGCCTGCCTGGAATATCCTGTATCTTTGCTTTGCTCAAATAGCCTTATGTATGAAGCACTTTATCCAAATGCAGGAATTAAAGAACTATTACTACAGCTGGTAGACTGGAAATGTTTACAGATCCTACATTACAGTCCAAGATTCTATCTGTAAGTATTATATGTCTGTAAAAGTGTTTGAAAAAAGAAGAAAAAAATATCCAAAACCTTATGTAAGGAGTTACATATGTGATGTGTTATTTCTGGCATGGCTGGATTAAGCTTTTGCTGCCCACCATGCTGGGCTGGGCTGACATCAGTGCTGAGCAGTCACCTGCTCCTGCCCTGGGACAAAGCCTGCAGCCCTAGGGGATGGCACTTTGCAACAGGAACTTACTGGAAGTTGAATTTGTTCAGAATATTTTTACCTGAAATGCTCAAATAGTTTGACTTCACAGCAGGAACTGCAACAGTGAAAGCTGGGCTGAAACAGGATTGTACATCTACCTCTGCCTTGTGTTTTTCTTAATTCCCAAAACCTCACACTGCCTTCAGCTGGAGGATCCTGAAGGAATCTCTGGTTTGAACTTTTCAAAAGACTTTCACATACCATTACAACACCACATGCTTCTACTAAAAAAGTATTTTTAATAATAAAAAAATTCCACCCATGAGAGAAAATTAAGTCACTGAAAAGGGTTAACACTTCAAGTTTTTAATAGTTGTGATCACATAACCACTAAAGCCTACCACAATTAGGGACTTCACAGCATGGAAAATCTTGTTACTTTTATTTCTGCTCTAAGAAACCCCCTTACTTTCCTTACTTTGCAGTGACCTGGAAAATAAGTCTCGTTTTCTGGAGAGCTGAGCAAGGAGACCCTCATAAGTCATACTCAGGCTGCTGTAGCCCAATGTGGGCAGTAGCATGTGGGCTGAGTGCTTCTGCTTTCTCAAACTTCTTCCACTTCTTCCAGGCTGTGCTCCAGGATGGTGTCTTGTCCCTGGAACTTAAAATAGCCACGAAACAACTTTCTCTGAAGCACCAGGGGAAACCAATAGCTGTCATCTGGCCACATGTGATGGAATGGCACCTCGTCCAGCTGAAACCACTGGGGCCGCATTTCTGGTGGCAAAAAACAAAAGAACTTTGCATGGGACTTTCTCATGGATTTTTGCTGCCTACATTGTGAATATTGGTCAAGAAGCAGCTTCCCTCTACAGGTCAGCTGCCTTCCTTCTGGGAGGCATTTTAGCATGAACAGTTCTCCATTTCATAAGGGCAATGCTGTCTCAGGAGAGCATGCACATCCTTCCTTTCCCCACACAGCCACCTACCCTCACTTTCTGTTGGCTCTCCATGAAAGTGATCTGCCCGGAAAATGTGAACATCCATGAGTTCAGAGTTGCCTACAAATTCAAATGTGATCTGACCCATCTTCTGCAAGGTGTCCACAGTCAGTCCACTCTCCTCCAGGAGCTCCCTGAACAAGGAAAAGATTTCTTATATGAAAGTGAGCTTTGGGAGGTCAAAATGCAGTCATTAGCTTCACTCACACATTCAAAACACTTCCAGTGAACCAAAGGAGAAAGTTTTGATAGCACAACAGACCAGGCTTCACCACGACAGTGGAGCCAGGTCAGGTGGGATCCTGTGATATGTCAGGCTCCTGAGCCTGGCAGGAAGACAAGCTTTGTTGGAAGGGGAAGATTCAGGAAAAATGATCATTTAGTATCATTTAGTCCTTGCAACAGGTAATCTTCCCTGAGGTGAGAAGTGACACTGTGAAGTCATGTGATTGTAGCTGGGTGTGGCTTCAGAACTCCAAGATACACTTAATTTAGACAGGCAAAAGGCTTTGCCACGTTCAAACTAAATCTTTTAGGATTGTGGCAAAGCAGGTCATGAACACCAGAGGGACCATCTATACCTGCTACACAATCAGCTACTTCTGAGGCAAACTGAAGTAAGCCAAGGTTACTTAAATTTCACACTCCATAACACCATTTGCAGGCAGGAGGTTGTGCAGAAGGAATTCTGATTCCCATTCAAAGGCAGTGTAAAAAACACAAAGCAATTGTGCAAACTTTGCCTTTCCACTCCTTAGAAGCATGTTGAGCATAACGAGAGGCCAGAAGGCAAGACTTTTAAGAGCACTTGGAAGCTGTGCCAGCTCTTTTCCATGCACAGCTACTTGAAGCACATTCAATTATTTCCTCTCTTTATGCTCTGTGCTCAGAGTTTTTTTAGTTTTACCTCCCTCTAACAGAAGCAGCACAGCTTGAAGTTAGTCATGGTTTTTCTAATGTACCAAAATAAGGAATACTCTGAAACTGTGTATCTTTAGTTATAGTTAATAATTAATGTTGTTGCCTATTTGGCAGTAACAACAATTTTAAAATGTAATGGAAATGGTTTTTAGGCTCCAGCTTTCTTTGGCATTGATTTCATGGATTTATTTCAAAATTATACTTCAACTTAATGTCTTGGCTAATTTTACTTTATCTTCTGAGAAGCTATCTATGTCTAAAATGGAGGCAGTTTTTCCAGCAATGACTAAAAGCCTCCTTTTACAGGCACTGATAATTGAACAACAAAGTACAACACTGCTACAGTTCTCCAGGCAATTTATCCATCAACTGCTTGGCTCTGTCTGTAGCAAGTGGAAACATTACATGTGGCAAACTAGAAATAACTCATTCACTAAATGCTCCCTTTGCAAGATGTGCCACTGAGGAGCTGCCCAGCTGTTCATGGGAATGTGCTCTACCCTAGTACCAGTATCTTACTGGTACTGGGAACTTTTGTTTTGGCTTAAAATTTAACTACCTGTGCAGAGAGGACACTTCACACCTGCTGCCTCTGCCAACCCAGCTGAGACAGAAAAACGTGGAAAGAAGCACAACCTTGGACCTCCGCTCCCAGTGCAGAGTGGAAGCGGTACAAGGGAAGTTTGATTTGGACTGTGTGACTGCTTCCTGCAGCAGAGCTGTGCCCTGAGGTAGCGTTGCGCCAGCAGTGCTCTAGCCAGCAAGGTGGCCAGCATGGCTAGCTGCTCCTGGCTTTGGGAACAGATTCCTGGCCAGCTGACCTCAGCTGAACTGGTTGTGTCACTCCGGAGTAAACTGCAGGCAGAGGGATGGGGACAGTCCCCAGCAGCAGGTGCTGGCTGTGCAGTGGCACATTGCATTTGGATCAAGGAAAATTTTCGCACTTGACATCTTGTGTGAAAAGAAGTTCTAGTCTCAAACTCAGGGCCAGCACAGGTAAACACACCAAGGAAATCAAAAGCTACATTAAACCATTAGATTTACCCCACAGCCAGTGGCAGGTAAGTCTAGCAAATGTTAAGTGACAAAACTTATGTCACTCCCTCCACTCAGAGATGCTAAATTGCACAAAAATCCATGATGAAGTATCTGTTATGTTAAGGCCATGGGCTGCTGGGAGCACATCTGCACAGAGACCCTTCTGTCCCCAGGCCCAGCTCACCGCAGAGCCCAGGAGGTTGTGCTGGCACAGCTGAGGAGGCTGTTGAGGGCAGAAGCTGTTGGGAACCAGCTCAGCACCCCACGATTGAGCTTCCTGCAGGTGCAAGGGCAGCTTTGGGCACGTATCAGTAACTGAGGAGATGGCAAAGTGTGGCTTTGTATAAGCAATATTCATGTAAAGAACAAGGTACCCAAATCTTAGAGGAGTTTAGCAATTCAGCTGTGATCTGCTACTTCATTTTAATGACCAGGCAGATGAAAGAACTACAAGAAATCAGTACTAAAGGTTCAAAAATAACACTGTATCTTTTTACTGATGAAATTCAATTCCACAACTCGGCATTAGCACTTAAAAATGTCACCATACAATCAAATAATAAGAAGTTTGGCTAATTATTTAAATTAAATTAGCTGTAATTCTGCTACATAGCCAAAATTAAACCCTGCACCTCTCTGAAGAGCGCAAGAACCTCCATCCACCACTCAGACTCTTTCTCAGTTTAGAGCAGAGTCCAGGAGATGGGAGAGAGGACACAGGAAGTCCCAGTTGCTCACAGACTGGATGATAGTTTAGGATTTGCAGATGACAAAGGGGGAGCAATCCTGTTTCTCTGTACATGTGGATGATCCCTCATCACCTGTGTGCAGGTGTTCAGAGGTGGGTCACGACTGCACTAGACGGTAACACGAGAGTGTCACTGACCAGATGAGCCGTGGTATCTTCACCTGCAGCCCACCGCCGATGTCCCAACACCTCCACCTGTGCCCCCACAGCTGTCCCCGTGGCGCCGGCCCAGCCCTCACCTGCGGGCAGCCTCCTCGATGCTCTCCCCGGGCTGCACCTTCCCCCCGAAGCCGTTCCACAGCCCGGCGCCGAACCCGCGCTTCTTCATGCCCAGGAGGACGCGGGACGGCTGCAGCACCAGGACGAGGGTGAAGAGTCGGGACGTGTGCATGGCTCCTGGGAGAGGGACGAGGCGGGCACGCTGTGCCAAGGGGTCCCGGCACCCTTCGGAGGGGACCCGGGGGTGCACAGAGCCCCTCACCCCGCAAACACCCAGCACCCCTCCCCAAATCTCCGATCCGCTCTCCCTAAATCCTTGTTACTCCTGAACTCCCTCCCTGAATCCCTTATCACCCTCAACATCCCTCCCCGAATCCTTGACTCCCTAGCGGCCCTTCCCCAAATCGTTGGTTCCCCATCCCAACCCCTGTCCCCCCTGCACTCCCATCCCGGGGCCCGCGCACCTCAGCCCCGCACTCGCGGCTTTCCCGCCCGTCT